GGGGGGGGAGGTTCTCGGGGGTCGAACGAGACACATCTAGCTGCAGAGAAATGACGGGGGAGAGAAGGGGTCCGAAAGTTGGCGCAGGTCCGGGAGCTGGTTCGTCACATATGTGACGCGCAAGGGGTTCCAAAATTATGCGATCTCCTGATTGCATGCCATGGCAGGGGAGGAGGGAGGGAGAAGAGAGGATGCATGAGGAACCAAGCATATCAGGAGGGAAAGTGTTCGCATCAGCGCAGATAGTCGAGCCAAAGTTCATGTTGACGCCAACGTCAATTGCAATATCTTCGCTGGCTCGAACTGCTGGAATTCCCTTGTCCTTTCGACCGCCGGAGATCGTCCAGGTGACGCCATCATCGTCCCTTGGTTCTTCGTGTGCTCTGCACCCCTGCCTCGTCACTGGAAGTCCGCCCGCCGGTAGTCGACTAGGAGATGATGATGGAGGGGTCGGGGCCATCCAAATGGGAGCGAAGGGAAGTAATCCTCCGCCTCGTCACCGAGATCAACGAAATGTACGATCCGGTGTGCACGGGGGAATCGATGATTGGGTCGGGATATGGATAGTAGATAATCGGGATATAAGGAGGGGATGGTGCGGAGGACATTATCCCTTAGGGACTCGTAGTCCTCCATAGTGGGAAAGGTGCGGAAAATGACACAGTACAACTCCATGTGGTTGAACCGTGTCCAGGCGACACTAAAGAGGAGGATATTGAGAAGGAAGGAGGGGGATTGATGGGGGAAGACCATGCAAAGGAGTCGAGCGACGAAGTGATGGCAGAAGAGGCGGCTGGCGAAGACTCGATAGTCCAGGGGGAATTCAAGGTGGGGGAGGGGACGAAAACGGAGGTAATCAAAGGGGCGGCGGAAGAGGGGACGAGGACGGTACGTCCGGGCCCGGAGGAGGACGGGGACGAAGCGCGGAGGGAGCGGAAGCGGAGGGAGATGGTGAGCGAGAGCGGCGACGCCGGCGGGAGGTTGCTGCGCCATCGTGCCGACTAGCGGCGTCTAAGGAGACGGCGGGATTCAAGGCGGATCCTCCTTGAGCGAAGGGCGGTGCTCGTGCTGGTGAGGCTTCTAGGGGCTCGGGCGCCGATGCCTCTCCTTCTTCCTTTGACGTCGACCGCGCTTCTGGTTCCTCTTCCTCCGATAGTCCGGCGATGGCTATGCGACCCGGATCGTCGTCTGATGGCAACTCCCAGTTCTCTTGATGTGCCTACCAAAACTCGTTGAAGTCGGAGTTGTCTGGTGCAAGCTCGTCCAGGTCCAGGTAACACCAAGCTGTAGGATCGTGATCGCTCAAATATTGCCCGTAATCCTTCGTACAGTTCGCCCAGATTACGGTTGGCGTCAACTTCCTTTCCAGGGTCTCAGGTTCAGCCTGCTTCAGATCGCTCGGATTGTAGGAGATGATGTCCGTCGGCAGATCGTCGACAAGTTGGGATAAGAACATGAGGAGTTCGTAGGCGACCATTGCGCGACACCCCTTAGCGATCTCTCCACACAACAATCCTACCAATGTACCGTCGGTGGTCGACTCGTTCGGCCACAGTTGCGCCAGCACCAGCGAGATCTCGTGAGTGTGCTCTAACTCCCGATTACTATAATACCGTGACCAGTGCACCTCACCGTGAGCATACACACACTAACCGTCGCGAACTCGGCCCACTTGCGGACATAAGCGGAACTGAATGGAAGGGTGGAGGAGGGACGGACTTCCAAAGTGAGGAGGGGGTCGGCCCAGGATGGCCAGATGATCGGAAGGTCGGAGGGGAGAGAGAAGGTGGAGAAAACGATTCATCGGCGCTCGGGGTAGGGGTGGAGATGGGGAAGAGGGCGAGAGGGGCGATCAGTGGCGCTGGTCCGGAGGGAGAAGGTATCAATACAGTCAATCCCCACTACTTTTCGCCTTGGCTGGGTCAATCGCTGCCGCCAATCGGTCGCCAACTCCTGTCCCCACTTATAAAGTTCGGTCACCACCTCGTCGCGCCGCTGTGTGATGATGGTACACATATCGCCACTGAAAGCCACGATTACCGTTACGTCGCTCTGAGTAGGCCGTGAGAAACGACGGAATGCCTATGCCTCCGCCAAGATGACTGTCGAGCCTCGATCGATTGATATAGTTATCTCAATGGCGATGCACCAAGCCCCGTCGCCGAAGAGCTGCGCATACCGGAGAAGGTCGGGACTGAGACGAGGATGCGTAACTTGGCGAAATTGCAACAAAGTTTGAGGTTGAAGAAGATGAGGAGGATGGGCCGGCTCGATCATAAAACTCATGGCGAAGTTGAGGGGGAGGGATCGGCAGATGACGGAAAGAAAGCGAGTTCCTCGTCCGTGCTGGAGGAAGAAGAAGAAGAAGGAGATAGGTTGAGGTTCTCAGAAGGAGGAAGGGGGCGAAGGTAGGAGGTGTGACGGACAATGGGACGGGAGCCATGGCTGCCGCTGGCTTCGGGCGCGATGCGCACCGTGTTGGCTCCGTTGGGACCAAGCTCTATGACGCGAAAACAGCCAGAGAATTTGGGAGCGAGTTTACGGCCGCGTGCATATTTGCGTACCTGCACCAGATCCCCTAGCTTATATTGGTGTTGTGCGCCCGCATTCCCATTCCGGGCCTCGTAGCTACGGACCTGTCTACCGTGGGCCAGCCCGGTCATTTTCTGTCTTTTTCGGGCCAGTTTAGGAACGGCCCTTTCCATTAAATCCGCATACCGCTTGGCCTTGGCCTTAAGGGCCGCACGCGTGTCCCTACCCCCTTTGTTGGCAATTTTTGTGGTACCCCAATTATCGACACATGGGAGGCTATTAGTTCGAAGCTGGAAGGGGGTGGACCCTGTGGATTCATGAGGGGTAGCTCGGTGGATTCCGACGATCTGATAGACGATCTCGTGCCACGGACGCATGTCACGAGCCGCTAAGTTCTTACGAAGGGCGGTCCTAATCATGCGATTCGCATTCTCTGCCAGTCCATTCGACTGGGAAACATGGGAGGCGGTGTGTCAGAGAGTAACGCCACGGCGCATTAGTAATTCCTCTACCTCACCCTTGAATTCAAATCCGTTATCGGTTAGAATCTCCTTTGTATCTAGATGGGTATTGAGGAATCGATCGATGTATGTGGCTATCTCTGAGGCCTTGCGGGTTTTACACGGATAAACTTCGATATATTTCGAGAAATGGTCGATCAATACCAAGAGGATGGAGTATTCGCAGGAGTTGGGGCCAGGTGTCACGTCTATATCAGTTGTGTCCATACTGACCCGCTGAAACGGCCGTTCTACCTCTGTCGGGACTATTGTATTTGGCCCACGAAGGGGCGCGCGGTCGACCGCACAGACTAGACAGTTAGCGACCATGTGCTTCACATCGTCCCAGATATTAAATCAGAACCATCGATTTTGGTCGATAGTTGCCTCTGTGACACGTATTGCGAAATGAACGGCCTGTTCTTCGTGTGCGGACCTAGTCCAGTCATATCTCTGAAAAGGGTGGGGAACCGTCAACCATAGTCCCGATCCGTCCGTCTTACGCTTCTCTAGATGTCCGTTGATCCATCGATAATCTCGGGATCTCTCGGTAGCCCGACGCCTGTCGTGCTTAGTGAGATGGTCCAATGGTAGGTCAACTAATTAGCTAATAAGATTTTATCGGTCCATACCTCTGCTCGTCGGTATTTCTCATCGTATTCAGGGTCGTCCGTTCGGAAAGCCTTGAATCGAGCCTCCATAGGGAGTTTGTTCGTCCTACACCGGAGGCATCTCCACTCCTTGCTACTTGTTCAGTATCGTACGCACGCGCCATGTGCATGAACACATGTGGCACATTCCACCCAATCAGTAAATCCAGACTCGAAGGGGTAACAGTTTACCCCGTAAACTCGAGAAATACACGTGCAAAAATAACAGAATTTGCCCAGGAGGGTGGCGAGAAAGTCTGAATGGGCAAGGGGAGCAGAAGAGGTGGGGGAGATCGAGTCAGGGGGAGTTTCCATCGCTCCAAAAAAAACAAAATCGGAAAGGGAGGGAGAGACGGGGTTGGGTACACGTGTCCACTTAACCCTTCGGCAGGATCTCCACTTGTCCGTATCGAAACTCGTTCTTTGGCTCCGGGTCGCGCCAGGGGGTCACTTCCTCACTCCTCGGCACCTTGTCGGGACGGTGGAGTCGTGTCAGCCCATCTACGTTGCCATGTTTCTCGTGTCTCCGATGACGGATGTCAAAGTCCATGCTCTGCAGCGTGGTGGCCCATCGCCCGATCATGCCCGAGTAACCCTTGGACTTCTTCAGTGCCAGTAGTGGTTCGTGATCGGTTACCAGTGTGAACCTTCGGCCATATAAGTACGCTCGGAAATGACTGATCCCCCACAAGGCCGCATAGCATTCCCCCGCCGGGGCCGCGTAGTTGCGTTTACAGGACGGCACAGTCTTGGACGCGTACTCCACCGCGTGTTCGAGGCCGTCTGGTCCCACCTGGGCCAAGATCGCTGAAACCACCTCCGGCTGCCAATCTGTGATGAAAACAAAGGGCTTTTTCGGATCCGGTCTTATGAGGACTGGAGCCGAAATCAAGGCCACCTTGAGTTCTCCAAAAGCCCGATCGCATTGCGGGATCCAGATCAACGGCTGATCCTTTTTCAGCAGATTCGTGAGTGGTCCCGCGATCGTTGCAAACCCCTTGATGAACCTTCGATAGTACGATGCCAAACCCAAAAAAGCACGGACTTGTGTTACGGACGTTGGCACTGGCGCGTCCTTCACGACTGTCACTTTCTGGGGCTGTGGCTGCAATCCTTGGTTCGTGACCACGTGGCCGAGGAAGGAGATCCCAGTGAGGAAAAACTGACACTTCTCAACCGCCACTTTGAATCCTGCGTCCTTCAGTGCGTGCAATGTTCATTCGATGTGTTGCATGTATCCCTCATAGGAATTGGAAAATACAAGGATATCATCCATATACACAATCACACAGTAATTGATTATGCTCTGCGCCAGCTGTGTTTTTCGCATGAAGTTTTGGAAGGTCCTGTTCATTGCGCGTTGAAACGTGGTTGGGGCATTGCAAATCCCCATCGGGCATCGGACCCACTGTCAGGTTCCTTCGAAGAGAATGAACGCCGCTTTCGGGCGGTCTTCTTTTCTGACAAGGAGATGGTGGAATCAATGGAGAACATCAAATTTACTGAAAAATCGAGCACTACCGATAGCATCCAGCAACTCATTAATCCGGGGCATGGGATACACATCCTTGATCGTGATATCGTTTAATTTTCGGTAATCAATGCATATGCGAATTCCTCCTGCCTTTTTCGGCACAATCACTACCAGAAATGACCATGGTCCGATAGCGGGCTCGATCCAACCATTAGCTTCAAATTCCTTAATCCTTTTAAATGCGGCCACTCTTTGCGCCGGTGAATACCGATAAGGAGCGCAGCTAATCAGCGGATGATCCCCCTGTAAGGATCGCATGCTCAATCACATTAGATAACCCAATATCATTGTCATGCACACTCAATACCTCGGCATACCCATGCAAAACATCAATCAGGGATCTTTGGATATCTCGGGGGACATGACTGGGTATTGTGATTACTGCATTATCCGCGATGTTTAGGGGCGTTTCGATCCAATCTATCTTTCGCGATCGCCTGTCATGCACACTGGAAAACATGGAACTACTAGTTCGGACCAAGAAGACGGTGGCAATCATTTGGGATTCATTCGGGCTGATAATCTCAGTCTCCTTAACATCAGGGTCGGTTTCGGAGTCGATGACGCTTTTTGCTATTTCTACTCCTGTTAACCCAGTCATTTCCTGCATGAGATCCGGAACATCCTCTATCGGAGCTTCTGCTTCTTGCTTGATCAAAGCGATCATGGCTCCTTGCGTGAGTAGCGATCTAGGTGGAGGGACAGACAGGTCCAGATATTGATTCATCTGCTGATACCTAGCCCGGAGTGAAAGCGTGCCTTCGTACAACGTGCGAGGGGGCTCCAAGAGATCGGCCATGTCTGAAATTTGCAAGATCGGTTCTCCCAAGAATGATGTGGGGGAGACCCGTTTTTCGAAGGACAGAATATGGCTCCGCTCGCTATTTTTCGAGCTCGGACCAAATGTTCGAGCGATTGCGGGGATCATTCAAAATTTTTCCTTAGTCTCGCAATCGAACATTTCGATTAATTGCTCCCACTCCTCTTTGCTAGGCATGCCACTCAGTTCCTCCTTGTAATCGTGCTCGTCGAACTCGTCTTCCCACGCAAAGTATTGTTCTTCGTCAT